GATTATCAATCGAATAAAGATTGATGAGTGGATACGTGATTTCCGTGCGAGAAAAGTGTTTAGGAAATGTGAGTATAGATGGCGTTTCAACGTACAGCGTAACATTTTACATTTGCTTCGAGCACTATTTCAATAGATACATTATTAAAGAGGTTCGTGAGAGAAAAGATAAAAAAAAAAGTCTAAACGAGAAAATTGTCTATTTTTTTTTCTTCCTGCATTGATTTGTAATGAAATAATGATGAATGTGAAAGTTTATTTGTTTGTGATATAGTTGAGTGAATTTTACGCATGCATATATGATTTATATGAAAAATTTTTTTATTTGAATTTTATTTTTAATTTTTATTATTAATTATAAAAATTTAAAAGTTAATTTGGTAGGATAATAAGAAGTGATTTTTTGATTTTCTAATTTGATTCTTGAATTATTATTTTTTTGTCTATAAGTTGAGAATGTGTTTGAAATAGTTTATGCAATAAAAACATTTGAGAATTAGTTTTGGTTAGGTTAAATTTTAAATGAAATTATAGATATTTTGATGAATTAATCGAATAAGTATTTTTTATTAAATTTAGGCAATGTCATCATTACCAATGAAAAACAAAATATCATGCTATATCGGATACAACGACAAGCTAATTTGTGAAAATTTTCGATTAATTAAAAAGATTAATTGAAAAAATATTGACGAATAAAATTATACGATTATATTTCTAAGATTCTAATTCTAATAATAATAGGATCTCTTCTATTATCATGTAAGTTCGTTAAAAGATTTTAGAAAAAAAAAGAAAAAGAGAAAAGAACAGTTAACGAATCTATTTCTGAATGAGAATGAACGAGTATACGAATGAATAGGCGATGAAAAAGAGAAAAGTCTGGTAAAACGTTCGAATGAATTTCCGTTCAAGACAATTTAAGAGTGAGACAGAGAAGGAATGAAGAAAGATGTGCATCCTGTGAAACTTCGAAATCGTTGAGACGTCGAGTTGTCGTCGAGTGGGCCTTTTTAAAGTTCTTTTCGAGCCTTCGAGCCCTTGACGACTGAGTGTTCGCCGCTTTTAAACCTTCCGACATTTCACTCTTAACATTCATCGTGAATGATAAAAATTATTTTTCTTTGTTCAGTGTAATCAACTTTATTTAAAAAATTAATGGGAAAAAATTTAAAAAAAATTTAAAAATAAAAAGAATGGATAAAAATTAAAGAGAATAAAACTCTCTGAAGAAAAAAAAAAGTTACGAAAGGAAAATATGAAAAAATTATAGATTCAAGGAAAGCATTAAAAGGAAAAAAGAAAAATGAATATGAAAAAAATGAGAACATTTATGAAAATAAATATCGATAAGAGGAAATATAAAAGCCAGCGGATTTATATAAATTAAAAGTAAATAATATATAAAAAATGCTATAAAAAAATAGATTAAATAGAAAAAAATAAAAATTGCAAATCCATAGATATTTCACGATTTCCCAACGGTACTCGATATATCTTCTGATGGCATACGATGCGAGACGATTTAATTGCATCGACTATTGTGCGGAAGTGGAATTTCGGGATTGAAATGGAGGGGATGGCTCGTTTCCGGTCGAATTCGACGGCTTGATCGACGATGGCGAAGAATTTTGTTGATTTTAATGGTAGATGAAGGAGCGAGAGAGAAAGTGGCATGTAACTGGAACACACGTGGAAAGAGAAAAAAGAAATAGAATTTGAAATGTAAAGAAATAGAATAGGTAATAATATTAAAATATAATATTATATATGTAAATTTGCTAAAAAAAATTCACTGAATATTATATTATTTGCAGTAAAAGAAAGAGGGGAAAAAAAGAAAAGAAGAAAAAAATATTGATAAATTTCTTCTAAGAAATGTAAGAAATTAATATAGAAAAAAAAAAAGAAAAAAGAAAAATTATTGAAATTGCCATAAATGAATTACATTATATGATTAAAATGTAATGTAAAATTATTATATGATATACAATTTCATGTATTATTTAAAATTTAAAAAAAAAATATTAAAATTAACTTAATTTATATATTATATTATTACATAATAACATACAAAATAAAATAATAAAAATTCTTCAATACATGTATTTTTCTCAATTGAAATGAAACAAATTCGAGAAAAAAGAAAGAATAAAAATAAAATCTATTGAAAAATATCCTTTTAATAGCAGCCATCAAAAAATAAAAAGAAATTTGGATATAAATCAAAGAAATAATTGATCGTTTTCGCATCACTATTAAATATATTTTTCATTAATTTAATATCAAGTTGATGAAGAGGATTAAAATTAAAAATCGAGAGTTTTAAAGTGTTTGAAATTTTGACGAGACATCTCGAGACGTCTTTTTCTTTTTCTTCTTTTTCTCATATTGCAATACAGTTTTCATTCGCAACAATCGATTGTACATTCCATCCTTTATTTTCATCTTCGCTTTCTCTATTTCTTTATTTATGAATCACGCAATTTATTGAAAGAGAGAGAAGAACGGAATTTATTTCTTTTCAAAAACAAAGAGAGAAAAAAAGATAAAAAATATCCTTAGAATTTGGTCTCATCCTCTTCCGTTTAATTTTTCGAATGGAAAAATTATGATTCTTCGAGGAATTGAAATTACATTTTTAAAATATATTTATTATTCGATATTTATCATGTTTTTTTATTACGAAACAAAAGGATAGAATTTATGACGAACAGTGAAAGAAAAATATAAAAAGTATTTCAGTTTCTCGTTTCCTATTAGATTGAGG